CAATCAACAGCTACTGCATAGACTGTTGGTTTCACAAGTACTATGTATTGTAGGCTGGACATGTTACATCATGAACACCAACATTTCCTTAAACGCCCAACACATATCTTTGGTTTTAGGCTGGTTGTTTTGATGTACAAGAATATAGTAGCCAGAGTCTCACACATATTGTCCACCCTGCTCTCCCCACTGACCACACACACACAGTGGGATCTGGCTGTCAGTTTGCATTTTGTCAGCAGTTCCAGTGGGAGAGAGGCCATTTCTGGCAGTTGGCTGGAGAGGTAAGGTACACACACACACACACTGTCCACTCTTGTCTCCCCCACTGACGGACACACACACACACACTTTTCTTTCTTTAGCTGTGACATCATTATGCCTTCCCTAGAGCTCACCCCAATCGTAACCATCACAACTAAATGCCTAACAACCAACCCTAACCTGAACCCTAAAACCAATGTTGAACCTTTCAAAATCCCTTTATATTTGAGAAGACTGGCTAAAATGGCCTCACAACAATGGCATAAATACATGTACACACACACACAGAGGATCAGGCAACTTGTTTTCTTATTTTACCTCTATTTGACCTGAAATGTTCATTCAACTTTTACTGCTGACACAATATAAACATCCATATCTAACCAGACAATTTGGTGTATTCACACTGATGTGACGTCACCTCCCGGGTTATATGTAATGACCATTAAGGCCTCTAGGGGCCATTAACAGACCTGTAGACTCCTGTACAGCATAAACTAAAAGATGTATTTATGCTCAATATATAAAAACACATTGTATGCTTTGTTTCACCTATTATTTACAAAACACTCGTATGCAACATGTGATCCCATGGGTGCAAACACCACTTTTAAAGGGTGACGGTCTTCAGTGATTTGTGGATGAGCTGTAGCAGTAGGCTGACATGAAGGAATACAAGGAGCTTTGGACAAATGCAGCTGGTTGCAGAAGTAGGATTATCCCAATACAACACAGGTTAACGCCTGCACTTGGCATTTCTATGAGATATGACAGATTTATGGCTTTTTCAGACTTTTTGATTGAGCACCACTAAAGCTGAAACCATGAGTTGATTAATTTTCTGTTATCTGACTAATCAGTTAATCAACTATTTTGATAAAAACATTTTTCAACTTCTCAGCAGTGAGACTGCTACTTGGTCATTGCATATGAAAATTAAGTGTGAAACTTTTAGATTGGTCAATAACCAAGTAATTATGCCATTATGGGCTCTGAGACAATGGGCATTTTTTATTGTTTATCAATAACCAATAATTATTTAATATGTAATAATTTAAGTTGCAGCAAATGCTTTAGTGCAGGTGTTTGTCACATCTTACAGCTGGTTTTACGTTCTGTCAAATTAACCCCATTAAAAACTGGTAAACTAGGTATTAGCAGTTCTGTTCAGCTGTGGATCTAAGAGACAACTATCACGGCATTATTTTTAAACTGAAGACATAACTCTCAGGTAAACTGTGCAGTTACAAGGAGCTTCTAAGAATACAATTATTTACTGTGAACATTTGATAAAATAACACAAAGTGCAGGTCAAAGTGCACTCGTCTCTTTTGCCCCAGGCAGCAATCGCCTCCCAACACATTGGTCTCCACCAGGAAGGCCGAGTCCCCAACAGTGTGTGCGCGCGCGAGTTAAAAGTGTGAGTAATACCAGACACACACAACTCAGTAGATCTGTATAAACAGTGTTTACAGCAGTATCATCAGTGAGCAAACTTTTGTCGAGTGCCATCAGACAGTTTTCCTTGAAGCATAGAGCGAAGTGAAACAAATGAGATGCAGGCTGCAGTTTGGTTTCCTAGGCGAATATCATGATTCACTTTTATTAAAAGCATCATAGCTACAATTCATCATACATGATGTCTCCAAAAAACAAAGACGCACACCAAAAAGAAAAAAGAGGAAAAAAAACATTTACATGGTATGTCTGTAAACTTCAAGGCTAGATAAGAATCTTGAGGTAATGCTCTTCAGCTTGCTGGCTAAAAGTAACAAAAAGTCCATTTTTTTCTCCAAGAAAAGTAGCTAATAATAAAGGTACCTGATTATTTTAACTTTTTAACACCAGTGCATCAACAGGAACAGAGTGAGACAAAATTGATTGCAGTACTTGTCTTTTACAGTTTTTCTATTCATACGACACTTGTGGTTATTCATATGGTGAGTATGTGTGTTGGGAGGGTGATGTTGGAACATTCAAAAGCTGCCTTGGTTATTGCTGTCTCAGCATTCGAGAGGAAAACAAGGATCTTTGACGCAGAAGGAGTCTTCCAGTGAGCCGAAACTCATCTCTCTCCCCCCTCCGTCCCAGTTGTCCCTCTCTGTGTTTGCTGGGCTGGCTGCAATAGCAAATGTTAAGACCTGGCCACAGTGTGTGTGTTCGAATGTACTTTCAAATATATGAAGCACTTTCAGCGCCTGATTTATCTCAGACTTCAGACATCAAGCATCACTTGCGCTTTTCAAGTATTTAAAACTTAGTCAGCGACCAGAGTTGAACTTCGTTTAGAAAACTAATGAACTGAAATGGTGTCTCAGTCCTGTTCTGGCCAGGCCTGGTGTCAGTGTGTGTGACTAGAGCAACAGTCTTTGAAGAGAAGGTCACTAGGGAGCAGCACGTAGTCTGAAACAAACAGGATGTCAAGGAAAAAAACAAAAAAACATGAAAATGAAAAAAAAGATTTTAATGTGGCAGTGACCGGGAAATCAAAACTCATGTGCCCCCATTAAAGAAGAAACCTGAAACATCACATCCCTGTGTAGACCACCACTCCAAATCCATTCACAAATACCTCCAAACAGTGAAGGCTGGTTTTCGGCGGCATGAAGCAGACCAATCAGAAAGCTTAACTGGCAGCAGACCCAGCCCGCCCGTCACCCCTGAACCAAAACCAGCCGCCTCCAAAGAGAGAGAGGATTCGGATGTGGCAGTGAAAAGACTCGAGACAGTGTTCAAACAGTATTCAAACAGTGTGGGACTGGGTTTAACAGTATTGGTTCGGCGTGCACGCACACATACACTTGAAGGAAAACAGCCGGGTGGGCGAGTCCTCCCGGAAACAGTTACATGACAGAGGATTTAGGGGATTAGTGTGTGCAACTGTAGAAATCTGAATGTGTGTGGTGTGTTAGTCAGTGTGTGAAACTGAGTTTTAGGCTAGTCTAGTTTCCTCTTCCTGTCCAGTCTACCTGGTCTGATATGTGAAAACTACAAACCTGCCCTGCAACACAGCAGCTCAAGAACTCCATTACCCACAGTTTCTTCTGCAGCAGCTTTGTCAGACAGACAGCCCCGCTAGCTGTAATGCTGTTTTTCACCGAGAACCAATATTAGAGAAAGTGCCAGCAGCGGGCGTTTCTTGTCCTTTTGATGAGATGCTGCTAACGATCAACAAAACACTCCAGAAAGTAGAAGGAAGAAAAAAAACCAAAACATTTACAGCACTACTGTAACCTCATGAAGTCCTGTTTGAGGGACTGTGGAAGAGAAAAGTGTGGGTGCACCATTCAGTGCACACATTCCAACCAGATAGAAAAAAGGAAGTGTGAGCAGCCGAGCTCTCAGTGAGCGGCTGTGAGGACTTTCCCTGGCTACACTATCAATCAGAAAATTTTAACTTAACACACACCTAGTTCTCTCTGACGCACAGTAAATATACCTGCTCAAGAAATAAACAACAATGAAAAAGAATCCATAAACAATGTAAAGAAAAACTAAACGGATTTGTAGTTCGAACACTTCTGGCGGAGGCGTGTAAACGTGTGTGTGTGTGTGTGTGTACGTGTGTGTGTGCGCGCGCAGGGGATGTCACCACCAGTCAGATGTGTGTTTTATAGCATGTCAGCCACTCTTGTCCTTCTGCGGAGACACCACTGCCTCCTGCTCCTCTCCTCCCACCCCTCCATCCTCCAGAGCTAAGTCGTCAGCCTCGCCTCTCGTCTCTTTCTCAGCTCCCCCCCCCACCTCCTCTCCTGTCACTTTCTGCCCCTTCTTTTCCTCCTCCTCATCTCTTGGGGAGTTTGTGGTCATGGTGTTACCACCCAGTGCTCCAGCCATGGCGCTCTGCAGCTCAGCCAAGGTGGAGGCAGCGGGGAAGCCGGGCAAGCTGAGCCCCCCAAGGCCTGGAGGTAGGAACATGGAGGGGTAGAGGAGGCCGGGGGCCATGGTGGAGAGGAGGAAGGGGTTGAAAGCCAGAGAATTGGCAGACATGCCAGCTGCAGCCAGCAGGGCGGTGGCGTCGCCATTGATGGATGCCTCAGCTGATGAATCAGCAGCAGCGACCTGAGGAGATGCAGTGACATCACTAACTTTATCCAGTTTCTCTGTTCCTTCACCTTCTTTCTCGATCATCTTCTTCAGCTTCTTTGCTCCTTCCTCTTTTCCCTGGGCCTCCTCCTCCTCCTCCTCACAGGCATCTCCCTCTTCTTGTTCCTCCCTCTCTCTCTTCCTATTTGTCATCACTGTGTCATCGCTCTCTCCTCCCTCTCCCTCCCCTGTTCCATTGGTACTCCCTGATGCGGTGGCGACGGGGTTCGTTGCAGCAGCCGCGGCTGTCGCAAGGTTGCCACCAAACAACCCACCCAAACTGAACATGTTGGGTAGGGCGGCGGCCATATTGGGCAGGCCTCCCATGCCAGGCAGCATGAGAGGCAGCATGGAGGCGGCAGCAGCACTGGCAGCAGCCTGCTTGGGGTCAGAGTGGGGAGGAAAGGCCATCAGACCAGCAGCCAACTGGAGAGACTGGAGGCTCTGGAGAGAAGACAGGTCCATCCCTCCAAACAGACTGTTCAACAGCAAAGGGTTGATGCCTCCTGAAACACACACGCACACACGGGGTTCATCTCTATAACACGTTCAACACTGACACAAATAATACTAAGATATATAAGCTCCAACTCCTATTCAGTGTGTTTTCAAGGAATTAATGACAGATTGGAAGGTTAGTAAAAATGATGCGAGAAAAACAAAGCTGCCTAAGGTCAGAGTACTTGCTCGTCCCCCTAGCATGGGTGTGGAATATTTGTGTTTGCGCTAACCTGATTGGTTTAAAAATCATTTGTACCTGCAGATGACGCAGCAGAGGCCAGTGATGCATGTGCAGCTTGAGCTGCAGCAGCTGCCTGGGCGGCGGCGGCTGCCTTGGCAATCTCAGATTTGGGTCGCCGCCCCCGACGACGGACGCCCTCCTCCCTGACTACAGGGCCGGTCAGAAGGCGATCAAACATGGCTTCTGGGAGGAAACCCTGTGAGGGGAAGGATTTGCAGTCAGCATCTTTAAATTGACAAAAGAACTGTGGCAGTCTGCGCCCAACAGGGCTTTAACAAAACAAAACATTTCATTTTCAATATCTGGTACAGGAGCAATGATATCAATAAGGACATTGTTGCAATGGCGCAACTGTTAACTGCTTTGGTCTTAGTTACTGACCGACTGTTTGACAATGTCTGTCCAATCAGGGGCAATAGAAAATTCTGGATTCTCCAGCAGCCATCTGGGAAGCTCCTTCATTGGTGGAGCCATGGCCCCGCCCATCTAAACAAAGAGGAGGATGAAATGAGTTTCTCCACTTGTCCTTGGACTGCAGGCCTTGCACGACCGCACCTACGCCTTCTCATTCTGGCCTAAAGTAAGTGTCGCATGTCTACATACTATGAGAATCCTTGTGTGCCAGCTTACCTTGCGCCCATTGCGCCTGTTCACCACAGGCACTCTCTCGTCTCCAGTCAGGGTGTTGATGTCGATCTTGTTGGGGTTTCGACAACGATGGCGCTTCTGCTTGGGTTTAGACAACTGAGACAACAGTAACTCCTCGCTCTTCTGTCACACGAGAATCAAAAAAGAAAAGTACAATTTTACAGACAGTCAATTTAGTATCGCAGATGCTCAACTCAAGGAAGGCAATAATAACTGGAACTCTTCACTGTTCCAGAGCAAAGAAACAGGAGAAACAACACAGAAGAGGATTGCAGGGTGCTGCTTCTGCCTGAGCTTTAACAGTTAACACTTAAACAGGACTAAAGATGGAGATAAAGGACAAAGCGAAGGAAGCAAGCACGGCCATACTGGTGTGAATCCAGCCATGTCCATGGTGTATGTTGGGTTCTGCCTCAGCCACTCTCCCAGCTCCTTGTTGGACATCGCGGCCTCTTCCTCCTCCAGGCTGCCAGAGGCAACCGATCTAGCACTGGGGCTCTGCTCGGGGACAGTGAGAGGTCTGTGTGCATGGGCAGCATCCTGAGCCCCCTCCACAGCTGGAGCCTTCATCCCATCACCATCATCCTTCATGTCCAAAAAGTGACAACACAGATTCTTATATACAATGAACAATCACATCTATGTGTGCAGCACAAACAACTTGACTAGTGTTCAACTCCATACCCCTCCTGCTCTCTTGTTGCCCATGAACAGCAGCTCCAGGCCTTCCACATTTTTCCTGCGGCCACGCCTCCTCCTCATGATGGGCAGGTCAGTGTCCAGTGAACCATTGGCTCTGTGCTGGGAGGATGGGGCTTGCTGCAGCAACTCCATCTGGGTCTTGAGGGTGGGGCTTGTCACCAGGGCGCTTGGGAAACCAGCCAGTGAGGGAGAAGCCTTGTGGTGGTGCATAACCTGAGCAGCAAATCCATCCATTACTAAACTTGAATGCAAAGATTTGTTTTCATTTGTGGGAACTTCTAATAAGGAGCCACATCACTGATCTAAATGAGCGTGTTAACGTCAGCACCTTGGTGAGGTCTATAGCCTGGCTCTGCGACTCGGCGGCAGCGTGGCTCTCTCTCAGTTGAGCCACCATTTCCATCAGGTTACGTCTCTTTGCCGCCCTCTCTGCCTCAATCTCGATCTTTCTCCTCCTCCTCCTCCTCTGTCGGGGCACTGTCAGGCTCAGAGCGTCCTCCTGCAACATCAGCTCAGCAGTTAACCCTGTGCCTGCCTAACAGCATCTTACTGAGGAGCTTGTCACACTATTGTAACCAATGCGTTAGTGAGCGGAAGCAATTACCACTCATGACACCATCTCTTCGTCTCCTAACAGAATGATAAACTGGTATAACTAACTTGGGCTTTTCTGTCAGAAAAACTGGCATTAACTATTAAAGCTCTACGAGGGCTAGACCTCTGTTTGCGTGAAGTGTGTTTGTGTGTGCACAGACACTCACATGAACCTGTGGCGGTACCGTTTTATCTTCACTCCTACTGTAAGGCGTATGTATGCCAGCCATTGTCAGCTCGGCAAGGCTGCGCCGCGACAGTGGGCTCTCGGTCGCCGTGGCTACGGCTGCTGTGGTTACCACGGAGCCATGCCCTGGCAACAGGTTGCTGGGAAAGTCAAAGATGTGGCGTCTGTTGACAGGCCACTTGCCCTTCAGGACGGCCTCGCAGATGTTATCCATCCTGTTGATCATCACACGATCCTGAGGGATGGAGAGAAAAGAGACCAGTCTACAAAGCGCTCTAAACAGAAGCTGGTCTCGTCTCTTTCGGTGTACTGAAATCCTCAAATCATTACATCTACAACAGACAGAGGCCTTTATTTGAAGCAGGATTATAATATATTAGGCTTACACACGTATCTGTCTGTTTTCATTGTATTTTTGCCAAGCAGCAACCATCTTGGTTACCATTATCTACATTTCCACAGCATTAATTCCATCAGTACAAGGCCAGTCATGTCATTCTCACTGCAAAGCCCTCTTTGGAGGGGTTTGACAAATGCTTGTTCATTCAACAACGTTCTCCTATTTTGCCATTTTCGCTGCTGTCAATTAAACGATTCCTGCACAAACGTTTCACATTAAAAGCCTCCCAGTGGTTTGAAAGACAAAATACTTATCGTAAGGTGTATGAAATGTTTATTTTTGTTAAATAAATGTCAGAATGTTAGAAAAATTATTTGAATTACTTGAAGATAATTCAGTTTGTCATCAGAACTAAGAAAAATAGCAAATGTTCACATTGGGAGCCAAAACAAAAGCTGGAATCTGTGAATTTCTGGCATTTAAAAGGTCTATCAATGACTACAATTACAATAGCTTCCAGTTAATTTAGTGCTGGCTGACTAATAAATCCACTAACTGATCATCTGAGCTCTAATTTCACATCTGTTTCATTTCACTGACAGTAGCTGAGCTGTTATGCAGCCTGTATTTGTCCATATCGGACATTATGCGACACTTACTTTAGGCCAGAATGAGAAGGCGTAGGTGCGGTCGTGCAAGGCCTGCAGTGCAGACGTTTCTGGTAGGTCATCGGGACAGAACCCATCTCTGGTTTCATCTCGGGCCAACATGCTCAGAGATGCGATACTCTCTTCATCAAAGTTCTTCTGCTCTGATGCAGCACTCGCTGTGCAGAGAGAAAGTTGAACTGCAACTCTTAATTAAAAAGGGTTTCCAAATGGTTATCTGGGGAGCCAAACTCATTTTATTCTCTCACCCCTGAAAATTACACTCATTAAAATACTGCCAGGTCATTGGGGGGGGAGACCAGAAATAGGCCTGTGACTAAGTGTGGTGTCAGCAATGATGGGGGCTGACAACTAGGACAAATAAACTGGTTAACAAAATTACAAAAAGTACAATTAAAGTAAGACATCTGAGTCCTATACATTGTGCAGAAGCTAGATTTTGAACTTTGCATCATCATCTTTGTGATAAATCAAGAAATCTAAGTTTAATATTCATGATCCTCACTGAGATCAGTGACTAACTAGCTCCAAGCTAATGCCAAACTGGAGTAGTACCTTCAGCCTGAGAGGATTTCTCTGATTTGTCATCTTCATCCATCCTCTCATCCTCTTCCTCCTCTGGGCTCTTCTCTGTGTCACCTGATTTGGGAGATTTAGGGGACTTGGGGTTCTTCCTCTCCTCTCCATCATCCTCTTCTACAGTCTTGTGGCTTGGTTGTGCTTTAGTAGAGGAGTCAGGATGTTCAGAGAGCTCATTGGTCATCTCCTCCTGGTTCCTGAGAGAGTTAAGATTCAAACTACTCTTCTCTTCTGTCAAGTCTTTCTCTGGGTTATCTGCTGACTTGCAAGTCTTCTCTACTTCTCCATTCTGCTCCACCAGCTCTTCTTTTTCTATTTTTGGTTGGACCACCTCTTTCTTGACCTCCTTTCTTGGTGAAGAAGTGGTCTCAGCTTTCCTTTCTTCAACCTCTTCTTCATTTTCCTTCTGTTCATCAGACATTTCAGTCTTGGTATATGGAATGTTGGTAGTGTCTGCTCCCTCTGATTCCATTTTCACCTCCATCTCTGCTTTCCCCTCCCTCACTACTCCTTCCACTTTAGCTGCATTAGCAGCAGTTTTCGGAGCAGCTGCAGGGCTCGCCAGCTCTGTTGGCGTAAGGAGGGGTGCAGGGATACTTTCCGCGTCTCCCATGGCAGCTTTGTTAATCTCTCCCTGGGCTCCCATGCTGACACCGGCCCCTCGCTGGCTAGTAAAGCGCTGGTGGGCTTCCAGAAAAGCAAAGGAAGGGTCATTTAAGATATGATAATCTGTCCGGCTCACACCATGCTTAGAAGCCCCCAGAAGGAGGTCCCGGTCATGGCGGCCACACTCCCACCACTCTGGGAGGTCTGGAGAAGGCTGGCAGAGCTTGAGGCGCTCAGAGAGCAGAGGGTGGGGAAGGACCTGCTCTCGAATGCGGCGAAGCAGCTCAATGCGATACAGGGTGCGAGAGGCACGCTCCTCTGTTATGGGGTCAATGATCAAGGTTGGGTCTGGGAGTTCTGATAAAATTAAACACAGAAAATCAACTACTATAAGTACCATGTTGGCCAATTCTGATCAAGTGCTCACAAACAAACTGTTATTTTACTGACTTTAGTATTTCAGTGACTGAACAAAACAATGAAAAGACACCTTTCTACTCTGCAATAACCTCAAGCAACGTATGCTTCCTCTCACCTGTTTCAGTCTTGACCTGCATCCGGCAGACCCGCTTACACATGGCAATAAATGAGTAGTAATACTTCTCTAGGCTCTCGTCGGTTTTTTTGTCCAGTCTGGCAAAGGCCCTGAACTGGGTCCAATCAAATTTCTGATGTTGGGTGTCAAAGACTACTCCAAAGGTAGAGACAACACGGTAGAAATCAGCCTCCTCACGACGAGTCCATCTGACAAAGGGGGGGATTGAGTAAGACAAGGTTCAACTAGCAAAAACATGACTGGATTTTATTCTTTTGTATTACCAGCTTTCATCAAAGGTTCCCAATATCCATATGCAAGTGTTGAATCAACATTGTAATTATGTATCATTAAATGTAGCTCTACCGTTGTCTTCTCTCCTTGTAGTACATGGCTCCATCAGCCATCAGGGAGCTGGTGGTCATCACTGGTGAAGCCTCTGGCACAAACTGTCCACTTTTGGCAAAATAGGCACTTCCTTTTGCCATGTATGGGCTACTTTCTGTCATGAACACCGCTGCTCCATCTTGAATGTAAGCTGACCCTCCTCCTGTCTCCTGTCTCATGGCAATGGAAGGCAGGAACTCCCTGCGGCGTCGACGGCGACCATCAGGCCGGTTGAGGGCCTCCTGGCGGAGCTGCTCTCTCCGGTTGGAGCGCTGGTAGGCCGTGATGAGGCGACGCAGACGGGCTGTCAGAGCTGAAGCTGCTGGCCAATAGAGTCGCTCACTGGAGCCCAAAGCTCCACCCACAGCAGGCCCACTTTGACTGTTTTCACCTGATTTAGCTACAGTGAATAGGACAGACAAGAGTAAGAATGATCAGGGCGAAAGAAGACATGCAGTGTAAACAACTTATAGCTGCTGTCATTTCATCACTTGCTCTACATTTGGAGAGTCAGTGTTTAAAGTTTGAGCTCATGCAGCACAAACAGCAGTATTTTATTTGAGGCATGCAATGTTATTTTTTATAAGTTCAAAGGTTTGGTGAACCTGTCTCACATGCTTTGCAGTTCTCAGTATACATGTCATTTGTGTGCATGTAAAGTCTAAAATCTGTTGTTAAGATCTGGGCATGGTTGTATTTTGTGCAGGATTGGGGTTCTGGACTGACTGATGACTACATTCATTTCTAGTACCCAAGACAAAACAAGCATTCTGTCATTCTGCTTAACGACTTAAATACTTCAGTTTTTCTAGCATCTTTCACCCTTTCCCTATCCCTCACAAAGTCAAAGTTTACCTTCGATCTCGCCTTCCACAGTGTCGTCTTTGTCATCTAGTGGAGAATTGGTGAAGTCGTCTAAGTCATCTTTAAAAGGCATTCGCAGCGGCTTGTACTCTGGGTCCTCATCCTCACTGGAGAAGGTTGAACGGATAAACAACAATCAGGCTTTTCTTTTTTGGATGCACAGATTTTAAACTGTCACAAAGTGATATTGTTTTAAAATTTGAGGATCTGACTACTAAGATAAAAGAACAAGGAACAGTGAAAAGTAAAAATATAAAGAGCAAGTATGGCAGAGGCCCCAGAGGCAAAAGGAAAGGCTGACATTAAGGCCTGTCAGAGATTCCACTATACTGACATTAAACTGGCCCTTTATTGTGGCCCATGTTCTTTTTGTACCGAAACCAGTATAACTGTACTGGAGGTGTGACATATGAATAACACTGCATACAACAAACACATGGGATACACAGTACAAAGGATACCGGTGAAGTTGTTTTCAAACCAGCAATGGTACATGAACAAAGTGGGGATGTGCTTTCGCTTGTCCTGTACAATGTCAACATGATCTGGAATCAAGTTGTTCTGCATAGTGTACAACATGTTGATTATGGTCACAGACAGTTTTTTTTTTAGCAATGTTAAAATTTAAACCCCCCAGCAGTGTGTCACAGAAACACTTCAAACTTCACACACCTCCACCCACACCCAACCCAAGATGCTTCTTTTTACACTGAGCTGAACTGATGGTGCCAGTTTTACTCTCTCTCATGGCACTTTATATAAACAGTGGTGTGGCAGAAAACCGGTGCAATAACCCTGGCAGTGGAAAGGGGCTTAAGGATCCCACATTTAAGTGGACAAGTACGACTCCAGCACTTTTAATCTTCAAGGTTTTTGAAATTCAGGCACAGCTGATTTAACTGAGGGTTATGTATGGCCACTGATAAATACAACCAAATAAATGAAAGTTGGTACAAGCAGAAATTTTCTGCTGAACATGGTAAAAGCTGTGGACTATAAATCAGCAGTACAAAACAGGACAATATGTTATGAATGTCAGATCTACACACACTGCAGGTCAAGGCTACTGTGACCTACATGTTTACTTAAAGCAACAGTGACTTCAAATAAGTTACACCTGCTTCCATTCACATGTTTTGGAGGAGCTGGACATTTGGTTTTTGCCTTTGTTTCCTTTAAATAAAAATTATATTTCTCAGACTTCAGGGACAGCATGAAATCTTACAAGAGATTTAATGGAGTAGGAAAATGGAAGGTACATGAACACATACAAAAAAATATGTTGAATCAGAGACGGTGACCCCAGAACGAAGAAAGAACAAACTGCTTTTTGGTCAGTGATGCCTGATTTCTTACCCCTCAGCTCCATCTGCCATCATGTCAGAGCCCCTCTGCTCAGCGGCGATAGCCTTGGCATCAGGCATACCCACCCTCTCCAAGAAACACAGGGTGGGGTCAGCTCGCATCGAGTTGTACTTCTCATAGCCTGAAGAGGAAGAGAAAGAACATTATAGTGGATTTTAGTCAGTAACTTAATTTAGCTTCAGAAAGTACTGCAGACTAGAAGATTACTGGTCAAAGCACATCCACCTCAAGACAAACTCTGAGATAGAAGGGTGAAAGAAGCTGTGCTTTCTAGCTCACTCCTAGACAGACATGATGCTACACAATCCAACACACAGTTTTTTTTTTTAAACACACTCACACACTGACTCAGACGCGCTTGCACGCGCACCCACATGCAGCATCCACATTAAATGAAGGAATAGACAAAAACAGCAGCAGAAGGGCAGACCCCAGGAGCCAGCTGCTGACAAGACAGACAGCCTGTGTGTGTCTGTTTCTGTGTATGTGCACTAGCCTTCATTGTGCATGTGTGTACGTGTGCGCTTAGCCAAGTGAGCCTGCAGGTGCTCATTTGTGTCTGAGCGGGAGAGAGAGCGCAAGAGAGGATGAAGAGGAAAAAGTATGTGTGCTACGGCGTCTGTGAAAGTGAGCCAGTGGGTGCTACGGCGTCTGTGAAAGTGAGCCAGAGGGTGTGAGGAAGTGTGTGTGTGTGCGTTTGTCCGTTAGAGGCATTCAGGCAGAACAGATTCGAATGTGCAGATCCTACCGAGACACATCGGGAAGGAGAGAGGAGGGTGTGGGTGGTGTGTGTAGGGCAGGTCAGATGAAGAGAAAAAGAAAAGAGTAAAGGAGGAGAGGCAGGGAGGAGTGGAGGGGAGGAGAAAAGGGTGAAGAAATGAGAGGAGAGGACAGGAGTCTGGGCAGTAAAGGGGAAGTGGAGTAAGACGGGCTGCCATTACACATCCACACCAGCTCTTCTTTGACCTTTCATTCATCCATCCTTCTTTCTCTCACTCTCCATCAATTCAGTTAGGAAGATGTGACGCATGTGTCTGTCTCACACACACACACAGCTGTACGCCCGCAGTCAAATGTTAATCACTGGGGCCTGTATAGGCCATCACTCGTGTGTGTGTGTGTGAGACACACCAAGGATTATGATTAACTATGGGTAAGTCCTTTTGTTTTCCTATGTGTGTCCTAATTGAATTATAGACGGTGGCAAAGACAGAAAAATGATGACAGTTATGCCAAATTAATATGCATGAGGGTCTCGAGACAACACTAAGCCGGTCTATCACTGGGAGTCACGTTCAGTTACCCAGTCAATACTCAAAGGTGGGTCACTGGGACAGCAACACAACTGACAGGTTAACAGTTAACAGAGATAATAAAGTTTGTTGTTCTAACTTTGAGGTTAGCTTAGCTTGCAAAATTAACACCTGTAACAACTGTGCACCACACACAAACACAGCCAGTTGTGAAACCAGCCATCAATCAGACTCATGATCACACACTGGTGATAGTGGTTCCAGCTGTGTACCACTATTACCATAGCAACACCAGTCAACTGGTTGCAGCACAAATGGGGTGTGCATGCTCACCCGGTGATGCTTACTGGTTGGAAGCCACAGGAGAAAGTCTGAGTGTCTGAAGGTGCTGAGGTATTATCTGTGCGAGCGATGTTGATTCTGTTGACTGCCATGTTGGAAGACTTAGATCTGTATGCAACTATGCTGGTGTGTGTTTCTTACCATGTTTGAAGACACCAATGAGCAGGGATTTGTCAGCCTCGCTGTCCCACCAGTCAGCTGGGACCTCAGCGTGGAAAGGCTGGGGAATCCAGATATCCAGATCGCTGTGGCAGAGACAAACATATCACATCACTGAGAATCCATTTAAACTTCAGTACAGCATCAGTCTGGCATTTCAATTCATAATAAGGAAAAGAGCAGAAATCAGATCATTATCCATTTGTGTTGAATTCATATTGTAAAAGCTGTCAGCTTCAAGCCAGGGACAAAAACTGTTCTTAAAAATGTGAGCATTAATGTGCAAACAGATTCCAGTTTTTGATTTTTAATCAATTTGCACAAATTTCCAAAAGCACGGTTTCGCTGTCATTACAGGTTTCTAAGTACAGATTAATGGGCAACCATAGAAACGCCATTTCAAACTAGACCTACAACACAAAGTGCGCAAAAAGTTACAGGGTCTGCAAACTTTCTGAAAGCACTGTCACTAAGACAAAAAACAAACCCAAGAAAGCTAAGAACAAGCATACACTTTTTGCAGGATAAATTGTTGTGGCATCAAACAAACAAAATCATTATAGAAAGAAGATGGTGTTTCCAGGTAGTTATGGAAAGAAAGGCTACGATACACAATGGAAGGAGAAGGACGGTGACAGGAGGAGAGAAGAAACCAAGGAAACGGTCCCTTATCTCTGCAAACAGCAGCATGCCCGGCCTTGGCAACATAAACACACGTGTGTGCGCCAAGACTGGCATGCTAAATCCCCCTGGCATATGTTGGCACGATGGCACCCGGTATGCTCACGTCTGGCACGCGCTGAGACAGACACACACACACACACATACGGGGGGCCTGTCACAGTAGCCACTGACTGGGGGGATGGAAAGATGGAAGGGAGTGGGAGAGATCAACATGGAGTGCATGTGCTCCACATTATAAATGTGTCCACATCTGGATGAAAGGGCGACGAGGGGGATGGGAGATAATGAGAAGTGCACTGCATAGAGGGGAAGAGATGGACAGATGCCAAGAAAAGTGGAGTGTGACAAAAAGGTGGAGGGAGCAGTGAAGGCATTGTCAGAATGAGATGAAGGGTACAGTCAAGGTGAGCAGCATAACTTTTACATGAATAGCACTGCAGTGAGAGGCCTACAATAAGCAACACAAAACATGTAACGAAACGTCTACGTGTCAAAACTGTGATAAGAAACTCACTGGTCAAGAAACTGAGACTTGTATCTGTCAGAATATAAAGAACCGTGGAAAAGAGGCTACTAGAACAGACTAAAATACACCCTAGTAATAATTAATCACATATTCATATAAATATACTTCTCTCAACTGACTTCACGGTGCATCCAAGAGATGAAGGCTTTTTTCCCCCCCTTTAACTGTTATAAACACCTAATACTGTATATTCAAGGAAATACCAGGCTGAACAGGATGGATGACAAGGCAAGGACATATGAAAGTGTCAGCAAAAAAGTGCACACACCATGCATCAGTTAACAGTAACACTCAGATGTAATGCTTTGTTCTAAGGTGCTTGGACCACTGTGAGGCAGAGTCTGATCATGTTAGACCAGTTTGTTATAACCAGAAGACAGGCTGGTGCATTTGTTAAAGCAGCAAGAGATTCACCGACTGCTTGGGGGGCCCACCCTACTGCATCCTGAGTAGGGTGGGCCGATATGGTCAAAGAGACTAAATTGAAGAGAAAGAAATATAGAATATGTACTAACCTGGAGTCAGCTCCTTCCAGGATGCTCTTAGCCTGGTTGCCTACGACTTCCTGCCTAAGATAATAGAGCATCCTCACCCTGAGCAACACCCTGAAAAACAGTACAAGGTTAGTCAAGCTCTTCTTCAGGATGGATGTCTGATTTAGTTCAATACAGATAAAAGATTCATAGGGACAGCACACTGTCAAATTATTATCCTGATTAAAACTTATAAAACTAAAAAAAAAAATCTTGACAATTTCTCAAATGCCAATTTGACTTCTTTCTTTGCCTGAACATCACTCCAATACCCAAATACACTTAATTTACAACAATATAAACAAAGAAAAGCAGCTCCTCTCCTTTGAGTAGGTGGCACCAGAGAATATTTGGCCTTTTTGCTCAAGAAACTGCATAAACAATGAATCGAGATCAGATCACTGAACCATTTGTTTTTTTATAAATAATTTGGTAATTCTATCACCTGATTTAGATCTTAGATTTGTTAGTTTTAATTTAGTCAAAAACTGTCATTTTTAAGGTTTAGATCTAAGCATTTTGAGGCTACAACTGTCACCATCTTTGTTGTGTACAGTTGCCATGGTTCGACGTGTTCTTGTCTATAGCGAGGTTGGTGATAAACAGTGTCCTTCTGTTGTGCACGGAGTGCTTTAGAAGACTGATTCACTCAAACCTGGACTTAAATCCTGATCACTGGGTTTAGCCTTAGAAGAGAATCTAAATAGATAACACAATACTGTGCACAGAGCAACTCTCGTGAAATGGTGTCGAGATGGCAAAGCATAAGGCTTGTCCAGAGTATGTATCATTTTTCTGAATCCTTCGTTCTCAACCGTGCTAATAGGGCGCATGTCTTTGGCTAAACAGTATGCAACAGCATCTGTTATTTTTTGTGCCTTTCTGAGTTGGATGGATACGGAGTTGGACTGAAGAGCGTGTCTAATTGATGACTGTGTTGCGGAGGATGTTTGTCCTTCTTTCTGTTTGTTTATTAGTTGGTCACATGTCGGTCTGTGTTTGAATCTTAAATGGTTGAAAAGATTTGTGGTGTTACCAGCCGGTGCCGACACAACCGCGTAGCAAATCTTGCGTGTACTATGTTGTTGATCCACGTCCGCTTCTTTGAATGCAAAATGTTCCCAGACAACAGAATTTCTTCTACCTTTTTTGTTGACCAAGACTTTTGTGGCTGCTCTTTTTCTGACATCTTCCCTCGCGCTGATTTTTAAATGCGATCAGATACGACATACGCAAGGGGAAGGGCGAAAGAGAAAGTGCGGATGTGCGAACGCAGGCCAAAATAACTTTAAAAACAGAATAATCATTTTTTTCTCGATTACAACCTTTTTGTGATCGTTGAGCCCCAAAATCGAAAATTCAATTAATTGCACAGCCCTAGTGAACACCTAGAGTAACATTTAGATGGCTGGATTCTAACATTAATCCCAAACATATTCATTCCTATTGACTGCAACTAAAAAGACAGATGAGTCAAGGTACCATTAATAATACCTCCAAAGCACTTAAATGACCTTAACATTTTCAAAAAACATCTGCATGCTGCCAGCATTTGGTAGTTTGCCTCAGCCTTTCTTTGTATTCTTCTCTAAATCTCAGTGGACTGTAGATGCTTTTAGCTCAGACCTGTTTGTTCCAAGAACCTGAAACGTCTAATTACTGAGAGAGAACATTACTGAATGTCAGGTGCTTGTTATTAACGGTAGTGCAACAGGTCAAATGGCGAAGCTTTTGAACAAAAGATAAACTGCCTGACAAAATTAATAATAACTATATACATGTTAGTTTAACACTTTAGTCTTAACATCTGTGTTAATGAAGCTCAAAATGTTTTGTTTGTGATGAAATTGTCATATAAATTCAATTCTCTCTTTATTACTAAGATCATAGTTAAAGGTGGTGTTATACTGTTATACATTATATTCAAACATGTCTATATTTTTGTCCTCCCCAGTTACATATATTAGAGGATCAGAATATTAGGAACACCTCTGAATATAATGTAGTCCAGTACAACACCACCTTTAACTATGACCCCATTTTTAAAGTTCGTTTTTCTTGACAAAATGAACACAGATTATAACATCCATATGAAGCATTAAGATATCAAAACAAGCTGCAGAATATCTTATCGTATTCCAGTTAAGAAGCTTATTTACAGAATTCCCTCATAAAGTCTGATTTTCCCCATCTTGAAAACATTCACTAAGACATATCTTTACCAGAGGGAAGCCTGACAACACTGGTCACACTGAACTAATTTTTCTGAACGATATGCTGTTAGGTAATGGAAAGGTGCAATTTGCTAGAACACTGATCTTAAATTACTCGGATGGAAAACGTCCTGAGGTTTTCAGGACACTGGCTGCACAAACTAGAATTCATTACTCTATTCCAGGGGTCTCCAACCTTTTTTACTCAGAAGGTAATGAGAGCAACTCATTTTATATTAGGCTACTAATTATATTTAATCACATACTGTATCAAAACTTTCAAACATGTTTCCAAACAAAGCCATCTGAACAAGCTGGCCACAGCACAACTAAATGAATCCATGGCAATGTACCTCCTGTTTCTTGTACAGTAAAGTTACATATTTATTATTTAGGTCGAGACTTTTAAAGTTGCTATCACTGAACGGCGAAACTGACGTAAACAAACTCGACAGCTGTGTAACTCCTTGGATTGACAGGTGATTGGCAAATAATAGTTTGGTGCCAAAGTAGGGAGGGACATTTGTGTATTTGATTGGACTGCAGTTTAAGCAGGTTTACTGAATGAAAATCTGTCATGTAACATTTTCAGTTTCATCTTGCATGCATCGTAGGCTACATAACTGTATATTCTCTGAACCTTTAGGTGAGCTACTCAGAATCAGGTAGCGAGCTACTGGTAGCTTGTGAACGACGTGTTGGAGATCCCAGCTCTATTCCAATGTTAAAATTACTACTACTGTCACGCAGGTGTCATGTTCTCTGGAAACAAATTACAAATGTTCCTTGTCAGAATTATTCTTCCGTCATCTCCTACCAATAAAGAAATGACTTCAGTCATGGCTGGAGAAACAAAGTCAGATTTGATCTCCTGACAATAGAAATGATGCTACCTGGGAGAGCTGTCTCACTGTAAACATTTGTCACCAGGATTTATTGCCAATAATGGTGTTTGGAGCAGAAGACAGGAGGAGAGGTGGGGGTTGGGAGGAAGAGGCAAGTGGGAGGAGCAGAGAGGAAAAGAACTGAAAGGACAGAGCTGTTGGAAGGGAGAGAACAAAAAGTTTGGAGAGGCAGTGAAGAGGGGGCAAGGGTATAAAGACAGTAATTTGCAACTCATTGTGGTGTGTGTATTTGTGCATCAATGGCATCACAAGTTGCTGTGTGTGTCTGTGGGCAGGCTGTGTGCGTTCATCCATCAATGTGCCAGGCCTGATTAGCCACACAACACTGTGCTCCAGCCTAGCAGATGGCACCACATAATCACCCCCAAGAGTGTGTATGTGTGCGCACGCCTTTCACACACTTCCAACAGGTCTGCCTGCCTAGCACCTGGCCTGGCATACAGCCAGACATGCACATACTCAGAAACAAACTTACCCCTCAAGAAGAAAAAAAAAATCTAAATAAAAAAGTAATCTTAGAACTGAATCTGGAAAGCATGAAAGCATCTCTGCCTGACGCCAGAAGAGAGCTGATCATAGAACAAATGACTGTGCGTGTGACTGCTGGATCTGTTCAAGGTGTGCTGTATGTATGGTTATAGAGCCAGACATCACACCTGACATGTGTCTATGTCCTGGTTTTAAAACCCATTACACCCATGTCAGTTTGGTATCCATAGATGTTTGCTCTATGTTATTACTAATTCAACCAATATTACTTTACAAAGATAGTTTATTGCTCCTTAAAATTAAACAGCGGTGTGCTAGTCACTAGCTACCCTGATGTTTCAGGGTGGTGTGTGTAAGCCCTACTTGTTACAGTGATGTTTCAGGTGTCTCTTGTAACTATCCTCTTGCAATAAATGGTCAGGATTGCAGCTGGCCAACCAATCAGCTCGTGGAGTCTGTGGAGGCGGGGCCGGGGGCTTCCCCTTCTTCCCCTTCCTGCCCCGAGGGACTGGGGTAGAGAGACCTGTAGAGAGTAGAGAGAGAGGGCGGTAAAGAAATAGTCCGGAGATTCTATGCAGGAAAACTTAGTGTTTGAACAGACAGTCCCCAGTTTTAAGCTGTTTTTGTTTAGACACATTAGAAAACTTTAGCTTGTCAGATTTGAAAGAAAACCGTGGTGAGATGAGGTACAGTATTAAGCCTTGATTTTTCAGATGCTCATACACTGTGCAGTTAGTGAAATCATCCTGTATATAGTGCATAATCAGGTGTGTGTGTATGTGTGTGTGTGTCTTACCAGAGTGGTTGGTCAGCGTCTTGGTGGTCCCATCTTCACTTGGGGTGATCAGGTCCCAGATGAAACTTTTAATATTCTCGTCCCCACGGTAGTGCAGCAGGCAGTAGGCTAGCAGAGCTCTGCAGATGGTTTCCACATCGGCCTCTTTCAAGGGGCGCTTGAAGCGACCATGAGCCAAGATGTCACTCCACCTGCCCCAACTACGAGGATGCAAAGAGACGTACCTGTCAGCATAAAGCTATACTCTTCTAGCTCTTATTACTGAATATACAACAGCGGATTAATGGAACATGGTGCTGTCAAAGTAGGCTGGTCAAACCATTAAGGAAATGACAGAAAATTCACCAATATACTGGATTTTTGGTCATTTGTCAGATTTGTCAACTCTTCAATGAGAACAAACACTAAAGCAAGTAGAGGTACAACACTGGCTCGAGTATGTGTTTGTCAGCACTGCACTATTTACACTTCACTGACGGGGGAAAGCATATTTTCAAGTGGAAACATGAGAATTTTGCAATAATTGTAATCTGATAATATAACTGACATGATGCACTATACAATGGGTAATAACACTGTCAACATCCTAACATACTATAATGCAAACACCAGATACTGAAAGTCTTAAATTGGTCACTTATGAATAGTAGTTTAACAAAAAGTGATGAAAAATAAGGTGAAATGTAATTTTACATTTTTGGATGCCTTGGATCGCTAAACTCTGAAATAGTGAAATTATTTTACTACATCAGACAGTTTGTTTCTCTGTACTACAGCACTTTCATGGCATCTGACTATATATCCAAGCTCACATAATTTTGTCTTGCAGCCCAGTGGCAGACAATGATGAATGCTGCCCTCATTTACTAGTCTGTTGACTTAACCATGACTGGCACCCTAGCTAGTGCCACCTAAGCATCACAAAGGCTGATGTGGTGGACAGTGTCCCTCCCTCAAACTGTCTTGTTCTCAAGTAAAAAATTTCCACTGCAGCTTCGCAATCTTCACTGAATCCTGTGAACCAGTCATACTCTGAAAGACTGAACAAAAATGGTGGAAGAGTGCACGTACAAGAGAGATGGATGAAGGGAGAAGACAACAAAGTACTGAGCAGAGAGGACAAGCCCAGCCAGACAGTGTGCTCTGTGCCCTAAAGCCTCAGGCCACACGACTAGACTGTAACAATGACAACACTGACATCTCACTAGTGCCACTATTCTTTCTTACACAAATGCACATGCACACACAGTCATGCCAAGTCAGCCATGGCAATCACCAGATAATCACTATCTTTGGTAAGTGTGTCACTTTGCCTCTGTGTGTAGTATACTGTACCCTTGAGACTCCAAACACTGCTGTGTATAGAAGTCCGAGTTAAATCACTTCTATCACTGCACTAAGATTTTACACACCGTCTGATAAATCCAGAGAAAATGGGTCAGGATGTGGTGTGTCGTACCTATACTAGTCCTCTCCATGACAGTCTGCTACCTGCAGCACATCTGTAAATCCAGCTTTTCTAGCCACACGGTCTGTAAATGTTACTATTAATACTATTCGCTGTTGCACTTTAATAAGACATGTGACGACTTTAATCCCAACTATATTATTCTCACCAACCTTAGCCTAGAACCTAGAACAAGAAAACCGCTAGCTGTCCATGTACATGGGTATTTTTTTTCTGTGCGTTTTTGCCTTTTGTCCACACACAAACTGTTTTAGGTCACTGAAAACAGCTGTGAATATTTTCAGAAATTCTGTTTTCAGTGTTGACGTGTAAACAAGGAAAACTGAGTTTGTGGTTTGTAACAGCGTTTGCTCATATCTCATTTGCGTGACATCATTGTGCAACAGTATCTCCTTTGAGGCCTGGATCTATTATTGATTTTACAACAAAATAGATGCATGTTATGAGGCGATATTGTGCAGTGGCTGATGCTGCCAAACACGTGAAGGTGGTAACATTGCTAACTGGGCTTATAATGTGCTTACACATATTGTACACAGTCACTCACACACTATGTTGAGGAACAGAGGCATCCCCCTATGGGGGTTACTGCTACAACTCAGCAACAATCCTACAACAGAGACCCACTGATCTAATGCAGAGACACCATTGTCACCTGAACCAGTAATGACTTCAAGCTTCTGACTGGCCAGTGTGACTAGTTAGGGTTACATTGCTAGCTGCTGGCCTGACATACTCTTAACAGCAGTTTTTGTGTTTTCATGTCTAAAAAGGATTGATCTTCTTCAACAGTCTGTGTGGGTGGCTAGTAGACACTCAAGGAAGTTACCAAGTCCAATACAAAACTACAACTTGACATTTCCATATTTCCATTTTTGTACAAAACAACATACAACATGTTTAACAGGGCACTTTAAAGGTGCTACTAGGTGGATTTTGGCCAGACTAGCTGCTGTTCTTCATCTGGTTTTTGAGTAGGAAACAAGTATGTGACAGACCCATAGACCAGTAGGTTCTTTTCCACTCTGAAGCACTCGGATCGGGGGTAGCCCTGGGTCTTCTCTTGAGGTCGTCGTGGTTTGGATGAAGGTTTGCTTGTTTCGTCCTCATCGCTCTCCAGCTCAGAGAACTCCAGCATCTCTTCCTCTTTGACGCTGCTGTAGTGCCGAGTCTGTTTTCTCACTCTCGGTGTGTCGATCACCAGTGTATTCTGGAGACAGTTTCAATGGACATTTTAGTCATGTACTTTTATGGCTTAGAAATAAATTCTTTGCTTCTGTTATTTTTTTAATGATCTTTACCAAAAACTTGGTTTTCAGTTACCGAAGACCTAAAATCTACCAATAACATTATGCAAAGGCCCCATGGCTTTATTCTGGTGATGTAGCCCATTTGTGCATTTCTTCTATACCTACCTCTACGAGCAGTATGAACCCGGTAAGAACACAGTATATTCTGTACCAAATCTGATTAATTGGCTAGTGCTGAAAAATTGCTGCCCGGCTCAAACATAACCTGACATTAATTATTTTGTGTAATGAATTACATTTCTGTTCAATTAACTTGATTTGTTTCCCCTTGCACCTCCATGAATATGCACAAACAGGGCAGTAGTTAGTTTCACAATTATCACAGAACACTGCAGTCATTTCCATTTTTACATCACACAATAAGAAATCCCAGGGGAGCAGCCCATATTCACGCTCACAGAGCTGGATTAAGTGTTCCAGTGGAGGGCCCTCCACAAAAGAGGCAACAGGGAAACAAAAAAGTCAGGAGGGACAAACATCCAAATAAAGAAGTGAAGTGAACCAATAGAGGGGAAGAAGATGAGGATGCCTGTTAGCAGAATGCTCATTGTGTGTATGAAGCAGACCAACCTTGTGTCTTCTGTGTGTATGTATGTACATAGGTTAGGGTTAAGGGAAGGGCTGGGTTTAAGCATTTAGTTGTGATGGCTAATGCGAGGGTAAGGGCTATGGAATGTATTATTTCAGCGAGTGTCTGCACAGCTCTAGGAAAACCTGTGTGTGTGTGAGCACTAGCCTAAGTGATATCTCTGTACCCTCCAGGCATCTGTGCTCTGTTAAGTGGAGCTAAGAAGCTTACTCTCTCTCGCTCAAACACACACACGAGAGCAGGGAAACATGGGTAATTAAGAACGAGTGGAGATTCCCAACTGTCAGTATTAATCTCTCTCTTTCTGCTCCCCCCACGTTCATTCCATCTTTCTTTCTCAGTCTGTCTCACTTTCCTCTTCCTATCACTGACTAATCACCACTGCTAGTCCCCTTTCTATAAGGTGACACTGCCAAGTGCGTGTATACGACTCATCCCACAGCTGTGTGGACATATTTTGGTTTGATACTATGTTTTTGAGGACATTTGAGGTGTTCCAACTTCAAAGGGCTTTGAGGTTTAAGACTTAGTTTTAGGGTTAAGACTTGTCATGCATAAAGTACATGTCCCAACCGACTTGCCAAAAAAAGAGTTTGCTAACATTACATCTGTGGGGTGGCTAAAAAAAACAAACAAACATTTTTAATGACTTCAGCTCAACTGTATGCAAACTTCTGACTTCAGTAGGTTTAGGTAAACAGCTAGAAAATGCATTATGTCAGTGGGTGTTGTCACAACTACAGAAGGACAAGTGTGCGTTTGTGTGTTATGTCAGTGGGTGTTGTCACAACTACAAAAGGACAAGTTGTGTGGTACCCGTCCGTTGATTGTGTCCAGGTCCAGCTCAGCCTTCTTGGCCCATTTCTGCCAGAAGTCTGGATCCTCCAGAGAAATGTCTGTTCGGTTACCTGTTGCGACAAAACTGGCCTGCACACAGAAGAAAAAGTAATCGCTTGTTTAGAGATTATTCTGACACACATCACGCACACAGTGAGACAACACTGTGTGTATGAGGGAGGAGATTGTCATTTTGCCACAGATTTTAGGCTGACTAAAAATGGCACCTTAGCAAATGTAGAGCCCTTGCCCTCTGACTCTATGGTGATGGTGTGGGTTCTTCTCTGAAGGATCTGGTCGATGTCTTCCTCACAGAATTTTGAGCCTTCATCTTCCTCGTCCATTAAAGCTCCGTATGCTCCTTTTCTCAGCAGGTCCTCAATTTCCTTCTTGGACAACTGCTGGACCTGGACCACAGAGGCAAATATTTACTTCCATACCAAATATTTTGTGTTTTCAAAGGGGTCAGGGATGTACACACTGTATGGGTGTTACTACTGCATATGAAGCAGCCTTCTAACTCATGCTAAATTAAGGAGATCCACTTAAAGGAAAAATCAATCTCAAGTTATTGATGTAGATGCTGAATGCCTGTCCATGTGTGAGATTGAGATGTCCTACCCCACTGTTGGCATTCTCTCGTCCGCTCATGCTCTGGAGAACAGCCTTGTCGAGCCCCAGCTTAAGACTGGCCTTGTCAAACATCTCCCTCTCATAGCTGTTCCTGGTGATCAGGCGGTAGATCTTGACTGACTTGGACTGGCCGATACGGTGACACCTGGCTTGGGCCTTGTAGAAAGCAGATGCAGAGATTCAGAATTCAGCTGGAAATATGTGGTTACAGAATAGGACTAATGATATGGCTCAGCGGCCCACAGCTAGATGTGGCTAAGCAGCATAATTACATTCAGCAGACAGTCTGAACTCTAAACTCACCCACCTGAACCTGGCTGGAACTCTGCAGTACAACCAAAATCATTATACAACAGAAACTACAGGTGAAGTGTCTTCACATTTGTACCTGCAGGTCATTCTGTGGATTCCAGTCTGAGTCAAAGATGATGCAGGTATCTGCTGCAGTCAGGTTAATGCCCAGCCCTCCAGCTCTTGTACACAGAAGGAAGACGAAACGGTCCGAGTCTGGTCGGGAGAACCTGTCGATAGCTGCCTGCCGCAGGTTACCACGAACTCTGCCATCTATGCGTTCATAGGGGTACCTGCACACAGAGTTGAGGGGCAGGTGTTAATTGCTGTCGCTATACTGGCACCATTACCGAACAAGCAAGCACTGTAGTAGAGCTGTTCTAAGCAGATCTGTATCTGGCAGTGTAAATGGTTCGTCATTAGTTATAATAAATTCAGATACTTTCATTAGTGCACTCTGCTGTTCTGTCCACCTCAGCCTTCTGTTGCAAAGCTGTTCATTTTATGAAGGCCTACACAGAGCAATTAACTGCATGAGTGCCAGTTAGAAAGTTTGGGGTTCGAGTATCACAGACGTCTGACATTCTGGCTGGCAAAATACACAAAGTCTGCTAAGCTAGAACAATTAAACAAAAACTTGCTACAAACAACTTATTGCACCTTTCTTATTAGCAGTGTATAAAACATTCACTCGGGAGCATCTCATGTTTAGCCTCTAACTTTCACCATTTAAAATGAGAAACGTTGCCAGTGGCAGTTCTCATCAGCCATGGCTAGTAACTAAAGTTAAATGTGTGAATAACAGCCTGAAATTAACATCTGTCTGTTGTCTGGTTAAAGTGCTCTCTGCACCTGGTTTCAGTGCAAAGCCAAAGATCATTTGTAATTCTTGGTGATCCAGTACATTCTGTATCTTTCTTTTGTAAATTTAGTGTAAAAGCTGATATCAGTTAAAACAGTGTGTTCACAAACATCTGCTGCTTGTCTTGGCAATTATTTTATGTGATAATATGCCAAATCACACAATAAATTGGCAATTAAATATAACACATGGGTCTTACCTGATGTTTAACTTGAATTTGTTAAGTATTTGTATAATGTTGAAAATAATGTTAAAGGTTTAAGACACCTTAAAACAAAATATCAATGTAGCAACTTCTCATGGGTGATGGAGGCTAAGGCAACACTGAAGCAGCAAACTTTGTAGGGTACCCGGGTAGGTAAATACAAGCACTGGATTGGACTCTGTGCCAGCAGATACCCAATAATGAAGGACTCGGATCACGGCTCAACAAACTTGTGTGCGTGTTGCTGCTATGTATACATTTATTTTTAGCATTCAAAGCATAGAAACAAGCATGACTTTAGTTCTATGTTATCTTATTTTCAAAATGTACCAGTAGTGTAACAGGACTACTGTGTCACGTAGGCAAATGTAATTTCCAGTTCTGACTCTGTTCCAGTAGATACCCAGTATTAAAAGGTTTGGCTAGAAACTGGCATTAAAAAGCTTTAATTCAGAATATCCCTACCTCATTACCATTTTATTAGCCTTTGCACCTTGTAAGGAAATGCTGACTTGTCTCTGTTCTCACCGTTTCTGGATGAGGTAGTCCTCCAGGATGTCCAGACAGCGAACCATCTGACTGAACACCAGTACTCTGTGGCCACCTGCCTTCAGTTTGGGCAGCAGCTTGTCGATGAGCACCAACTTGCCTGCAGCCTGGATCATGGCCTGGAGTGCCATGTCTGGCATATCTGCCCCACCTCCATGGGAGTCCCTGAACTCCTCAATGATCTTCTCTTCCGCTCCTAGACAACAATTACAAATATTTAGGAAAAAGCACAACTGGTCTGCGGTAAGTTTTTACTGCAATGCCATAACATAATTGTGTGTGTGTGTGTATATATATATATGTGTACCATTGATGAGGTAGGGGTGGTTGCAGCATTTCCTCAGCTCCATCATGGTGTTGAGGAGGTTGGGAACACTGGCACTTCCACCTCCTCCTGCACCTCCTTTGGACAGGAATGAGAAGTTCTTCTCCAGAATGGCTCGATAGTATTTCTTCTGGATGTTGGTCAGTTCCACCTGACAATAACAACAGTTAATCTAATTAAGTCCTCTTATAACCATCTTCATCACTTCAACAAATTTCTCACCAAAATAGGTCAGTTAGGGGACATCTATGATCAGATCACAGTCCTACCTCAATGATGGTCTCCTCCTTTGGGGCAAGGTTCTTTTCCACATCTTCCTTTAGTCTTCTCAACATCATGGGCTTCAGAATGCCTTGCAATTTCTGAACCTGAGGCACACAAACGTAACATTAATCCTTAATTGGAACTGGACTTTATACACTGTGCAAAGTTGTAAAAGACCCCCTCATATGTCTGGAGTACCAATAAGGTTGTCCATATACCTGTTCTTCAGTCTTAAGGTCACCAAATTCAGTCATGAATGTCTGCTCAGACGGGAATCTCTCAGGCTCCAGGAAGTTCAGTAAGCTGAAGAGCTCTTCCACAGTGTTCTGGAGAGGAGTTCCTGTCAACAGAACTTTGTGCTCCTTGAGAAGACAGCAGAGACAGGAAAGGCATATTTAGTGTTTCTAAAACTGAAAGCATGATGTCTACAAGATTTCAATCCCTAAAGAGGAGGAGAGAGGTCCTGGGATATTTTGTTCAATTCTAACTCTGATACTAAGTGCTGTCAAATTTCAGCAAGACCTTTGAAAAATGTGCAAAGAAAACATCACAACAGACAAAACATTTATATCAACTTGCACTCAGTGTGCCAAGAAACTGTGAACATACCTCTTCCAAATTTTATTTCTCTCAACACAACCACCACTATGCTATATAAAAGACCACCACTCACCATGTCCATCATTTTAAGCCCTTCTAGTAGTTTGCAGTTTCGGTTTTTGAGGCGATGTGCTTCATCTATCACCACACAGCGCCACGGCACGCTGCGAAGCTCGGGACAGTCGGCCAGAATCATTTCAAAGGTTGTTATAACCGCATGGAAACGATACACTCCCTTTATTATCTTACCCTGGAAGGAAGAAGGCCGAAAAATAACAGGATGAAGGAAAAAACAATAATGCAAAATGTCTTAGACCCCAGCTCCATTATTATCCTACACTATGGAGCCAAGAGGGAAACTGTCCACTTTTAGATCTAAAGTGACTGAGACACAGTTGCTCCACAATCCTTTGTGGAAAAGCTAAAAAAGGCTGAGATAGAGGTCCAGATCAAGCTAAGACTTGTAGCAGTCCTACCCTCTATAGTCAGAAATGGTATAGTGGGTTGTATGGTTTATAAACTCAAAATGTTAGTTGTAATACAGTAACAGGCCACTTGTCAATTTCCTTTATTCAAACTAGCTCAAATTCACAATAAAAAACCTCACTGTCAAAATCTGTAAGTCATGCCAGCCAGCCATAGCAATATAAGCCAGGTAGAAAGAGTCCCTATGTTGTCTGTTTTACATATCTGTAGTATATTAGACAGATGAGGTCAGTTCTGAACTTAAGGATTGCCTCAGTCTGGATAAGGAACATGCAGCTTGTAAGGATACTACTACTGCAGCTTATTTTTTTCAAAGGTTCACTGTGGTGAAGGAGACTCTCAATGTTAGCAGAATTATAGGGCTTACAGTATCTGGTTACAGCTGGAGTGCTGTAAACAGTTTACACAACAGAGGAGCGGTGTCCAAACCCTTCTGAGGTGATGTTCACATTTGTTCACCATCTCACACAGCATTATCTACTGTCCTCCATCTACATGTGATGCATCCTAGTTTGCCTTCTTTTTAGTGAGAACACTCCAAATTCTCTCTAAGTCTTCACTTCATTTCTAATTTACATGTTTGCAAGCTGGTGTTGAGCTACAGGTATGTGACTGCTACATAGCTGCAGAAGTGGCCACTCACATTCTGACGGAGCATTTTCATAACAGCAAAGAAAGATTTTACAGATGTGTCATGCGAGCCTGGATAAGTCGTACTTACATTGGCAAATTTAACACTTAAAATGCAAATTAATACAGACTGTAGTTCATTTATTGTTACATGAAAAAAGTGTTGAGAAAATAATTTCAGCATCTTTATAACAAAACGCTTACACTGTTTAAATTCAAGCCATGCCAATTTGCACAATTAAAGAGCACAAATCTATTAATGTTATCTTTTAAATCACCTCCAGACATGCAGTGTAGGGAGTGCATGTATATGAAGTACATCCACTTTTCTCAGTAATATGCCTACCTAAAGTGTCAGTGATGAATCTACTTGCTCCAACTAGGAGAAAGACACAAACGCATTTCCCAGACTTCTGGAATACTGAAGTATGCACTGTAATATTCACATTTCTTTATATTCAGTGTATGAAATACATGACTCTAGTGTTCCACTAAAAGCTAATTCCACTTTTTAGTACTACTGAAGCAGCACTAATTCATAAATCACAATGAATAATGGTATCACTGACTTGTATAACAGCTAAAAGCCACCGACCCTCCTGACTTATTCAGCAATCTCTGTTGATTATTTTTGTTTACACTGTAAATATAATTGTTCCTAACCAACAGTAGCTAATATCATCCCAGACAAATCCTTCAAAGGAGCCGTTTTATAAGAGCAGTTTAGCAGCCCTGGCTCCTGTTTACCTGTGCATCTCTGTAGTACATTTCATAGGCCTGGATGGTCTTGCGGCTGGCCTGGCTGCCATGGTACACCACCACATTGAGCTCAGTCCAGGTCCTGAACTCTCGCTCCCAGTTGGGAATGGTAGAAAGTGGGGCGATGACCAGGAATGGCCCCTCAATGCCCTTCATGTACATCTCATAAAGGAATGTAATAGACTGGATGGTCTTCCCTAGACCCATCTCATCTGCCAAGATACAGTTACGTCTGTGGAGGTTGAAAGATATGCATAGAGTGAGAGGCTGAAACACATGGGCTGTATGTGGGATTTGCATTTCACATCATTTGTGGTTCATTGTCACTAAACTGGTGAAGTCACCATTGCCTACTTGTATGTAAGAAATAGGGTTTTTCCACCATAGGAACCTACTGACACCTGATGAGCTGTGTAACGCTCGTAATGGGCTCTGTGTTTGTTTCCACTGCCTTCCTCGCCTCCTGCTTTGGAGGTGTGTTCTGGGAGCTACATTTCAGCACCCCTCAGGAGGTAGTACTAAAATCAATTTCCATGAACGCGAGGGGGGATGGGGAGGGTGCTCACAGAGTGATTGGTTAAATGTCAGCATCTTCACATCTCAACCATTAGCATTACAAGCACAGTGTGTAAACACACACACACACACACCGGTTTAGAATTAAAATGACTGACTTCACTTGTTGGTTTTGAGGTAAAATGTGGACCACGGGCACCATGTGAAGACATCACATTTCGGCACGTTTGTGTTCTGCTTGTTAATCGGCTGTTTGATAAACTACTCATACCGTCTCCAATACTGGCTGAATTTATGTAACTAAGGAGCATTGTGATGCTTGACTCGCATGCTCTGCTCAGCTGTTTGCGTGTTAGTATGTGTGTGAGGAGTGCAGCCCCACCCTCCTCCAAACAGAAACCAACACAGGGAAATACTGTGGAAAAGCAAAGCAGTGAGGTGATGGCTTCCATTCTATTATATAAAAACTAATCCTGCATGTCTGTTAGGGTTTTGGTCTTTTAAAACCAAAAGTATTGCCAGATGAGCAAAGATCTGCAACCCTAGTGCAAGTAGTATTCTGATTCTTCCAGGTTTTGAACAATTAGTTTTTTTCTCATTGCCAATTGATGTTTTGTCCATCAATCTACACTCAATAACCTATAACAACAAAACACAAAGTAAAAAACATGTTTGCAGAATTTTTTGGTAATTTATTAAATATCAAAAACTGAAATGTCTCACATAGAAAGTTGTTCAGACTCTTTGCTAAAACTGTAGTCAGATGTGTCCTACTTGCTTGAATTTTCCTTGATGTTAGTTTCTAAATCCTGAAATGCATCCAATACTTTTACTGAAACTAATCAGAGGTGCTGATTCAACTATACTGGTTCTGTACCGGAAACAAATTCCTTGTGTGTAACATACTTGGCCAATAAAGGTGATTATCCTTATCCTTATTATATGATTGTTTTGGAGGATGTAGTTTGTGCTGCTGTTTTTGTCCACCTCGTTTTATGTCACTGCAGATAAATAGCAGCCTAAATAACAAACAGCTTCCACAATGACCATACAGTTGAGTGTATATTTCAAGCATGGAGGGCACCAGTGGGAAAACTAACAGCACTATGCTACAGAGCCACTTAATGTCCACTTAAGACTATTTATTGAGGTGATAGCACATATGCAGGCTAGCAGTAACATTTAGGGACTTAGTCTAACAAAACAAATTTAATGGTGACTTACGAGTTATACCAGTTGAAAGTAAGCCAGTTGAGGCCCTCTAGCTGGTATTCCCTGAGTGCGTTGCCATTTCTGTATTCCCTGGAGCCCTCCAGCTTTTTCCAGTCAGCAGCAGGAGGTCGATCCTACACAAAGAAATTATGTGGGGTTATTAAATGACATTAAGGCTTATTGCTTAGCTGTTACATTTCCTGTTACTATTACTTACCCATCAAATTATTGATGGTGATTTTTGGAAAGGTGTAGATGGGTTTGAACTAGGTTTCACTGCCATAGTTAAAGCAATAACAGTTGATTTATCAAAAAACTGATGACAGCAAATGTCCTAAGTGTGATGATTTTGGGCTGTTTTCCATAACACACACACAAACACACGACTAAAATTTACAGTAAACAGAGCTGAGCCACCATCACGCCCTCTTTATAGGCCACCATATTGTTGCACAGGCATCAGCCAGGCATGTATATTTTCATCTGTTTTTCTAAAAATCTTAAAGATTATTAACGTCACTCATGATTCATCCTGTGGGGAAGATATACATCTGCAACAAACAAGAGTTGAGGATATATTTTTCTGCCAGTAAACCAACCATCCCCTAAAACACAGTGGAGCTACAAATATAAACGCCTCCAAATAGTGCCACTCTATGACAGAGCATTTCTAACGTGGGCCTTAAGAACAAACAGTAGGCAATAGTTAAAAAGATGGACACAGTGAGAGAAAGGAGTAATGGAGAGAAAGACCACAGCTTCTGTTCAGCATTAAACACACTGTTAGTGGTTTGGCCTGGCCACAAGAGCAGGGTGTGTGTGTGTTTATACGTGTGTAAGACCACAAGAACGTGGCCCTGTGGAGAGCAGTTAAGGGAGCTGTAAATCTGGAGGAGGAAGGGGGCGGCAGCAGGCCAACACACACATGCCTACTGGGAGGAGGCCGGAACACAGATGGCACCCAAAGACCATCTATTAAACACACACAGCTACTTACCACTCTCGTAGTGTTAGGTGTGTGTGCTGTGATGCGTTCATATTCTTCTATCTTTGACTGGTCGATATCGGCCTTCAGCTCCCAGGTAGAGTCTTCATAAGGCAGGCTGCACCACTTGACTAAGTATAAGGTCACCATCTGCACACAGACAGACAGAAATGGGGGGGAAAGGCGGCTTGGTGAGTCTGCATGTGAAGAGAGAAGAGAAGAGAGGGGGAGCCTCAAACCCATGAAAGACAACAGCAGGAGATCAAAGCACCTCTCCATTTTCATCTGTGCTCTCTGAAACATCCAGGACACGGTCCACCTCCACATAGTCTGGGTTAAAAGGCTCATCATCCATCTGGAGAGAAAGCAGGTAAAGTTTTACTGTTAGAAGCACAGAGGCGGTTCAACAAGACAAGTCAGATGACTTCATATTTGCACAGTATGACTGAGGAAATTTAATTTATGAAGAAATTTAAGGTATTCTAGGAATTTTACATGTTTCAATTTGTCTAAAATTGTTTCCCCATTGTTTAATTTGTCCATGTGGAATTTTTTTACAACACCGTTTGTACAGTCAGTGTACATTATTGTACAAGTGACCCCGTTTGTCTGCTGAAAACGGTTAATCTCAATCCCTTCTATTGGAAGAGTTTGAGCTGCACATGTACTACAAATAGCACAGAAATAGCCAAAGTGACCCTTGTGTGCAGTTTCCTGAATGCAGCGTAGGGCCAGGACCCAGGCAGTTGGCTAACTGGCTTGCTCAGGTCTTACCTCTGTTATAAAGTTGTTGAGTTGTTGCTTGGCCTTAAACCTCTTGACCTTCTGATGTATTCTCTTGTCCTTCTCCAACTCCTCTAAGTCTGCCCAGCGGCAGTGGAGGTACGAACTGACACAGAGAGAGAAAGAAAAACACACTAAGAAATTCTTTCATTTCAAAGACTTGGTGGTGGTGATCATTCTTTATTGATGGACAAATGCTGGCTTTCAAAGACAGGTGCATAGAAGATCAGTGCAACAGCAGCTGTGCCGCCGCTGCTGCTGCTAACTTTTCACAGTGTTCATTAATATTCACAATGAAACTAAACGCTCAAATGTTGCACTTTCGACATGTGAGCAGTCAAACAGCCAGCTATGAAGGAGCTCTCAGCAGCTACAAATTATAAGCAGTGGCTGCCAGCCTGAAGAGGTCACATTCTGTTGCACAGAGAGGGTTATCATCGGTTTGGCTCTTTGAGATGGAGAACATTAAAAGCAGCCAAAGAATTCAAAATTTGATTCGGATGTGGTGCTCTTCTTTCTTGATTCGTCAACATCTAAAGCTAACCAGTTTGTTTTGGTAGCATTAGCGACCTAGTACAGTCCATAATTAAACTTTTTATTGAATTAATATGGTTTTAATCTTAGAGTAATTCAGTCTTTGTATTAGTAGTAAACAGAGCATTTTACTGGATTGACTAACTTACTTGTTCGCTGGCTAACACCAGCTTTGGACTGGAGGCATTTTATACAGTTTGCCACAACTAGACATCCATGGTCTACGTCGCTGCTAGGAAACATGACTCGAAGGAAGGTGCAAAAACCCGTTAGTAGTGGCTTTTGGTGTCAGTTTGTTTCGAGGCTCACTAGACCCTCTAGTCACTGAAACAAAATTATGTCGAGTAAGAAACCTTAAGAAACTGTTTGACTTACTTCAATACCGCCAAACTGGTTTTCACTATGAATCATGAAAATATTTAACAGATTAACTAGTAGTGAAAATTATTTTAGTTGCGGATTTAAGGCCAAGTGCTAATATCAGAGGGTGGCTTTATGAACTATCAAAAGCCGCTTTCCCAATAAACCCATGTAAATTCGCCACAGTTCGGCTTTTGACGGCAGTGGGAATGCAACTACTGGGACAAATGACCCTGGAATCGACAGGGGTCATTGGCTGCTGTGCCTCGGCTAAACCCGTGAACGTATGCAATGGCACACGTGTCGTCATCACTTCAGCAATTGCCAACAAGGAGGAAATGAAGGCTCATTTCCTTTGTTGATAATTTCGACGATTCATTGCCATCTCAGCCATAAATTCCATCTGTCTTCGTTCAATCAACAATAACGTCTTTCAGTCTAAACAAAGTTTTTATACTCTGGAAGCTGAACAAATGTAAATAAGTAGAAATAACGCTGACTGTCTCACTAGCTTCCATGCTGCTTTGTTTACAACTCTGTTTACTGGCACAGGTATTTGACATCACCAACATGGTGACATCATATGCAACTTACCAGAGGGGAAACAAGCCCGTCTGCTGAAGAGCCGAGCTGTGTTGGTTGGCAATGCCATCAGAAACCAGTTAAAGGCAGGTTTGGGTGGGTACTTTTGAAAGTGGTGAAGGAGTGCGAGCTGCTGCTAGATGATTCACCATTGTTTCGCCTTGAGAATTCAGTGATAATTGTGCTCTATATGAAAAGGGCCTAAATACTTTATCCTAAACCAACTTGTTTGATAAGATTAGGTATTTGCAAGTCATGCGGTGAAATTTATGTAGCCAACATGCAGCTTAAAGCCAGTTTGTTTGCTATTCAGTCTTTTATCTGACTGGGCTGTATACAGACTCAAATAAATGACTGCTATGGCAAAAGATGCACAACAATACTACACATTTGGCAATATTTGATATAACATCACTTTTGTTTTATTGATGAAAGAGTGGATCTGTAGCACAAATAAATGGTACAGCTAACGGTAAAAGAAAGTGAATGAGGTTTTCAGGCTGAATATACTGAGCTCTTCACCCTGGTGTGTGCATTGAAAATAGGTCTTAAAAAAGAGGGGAAAAAACCCATGCTGTGACAGACAAAAGAAGTGGAGAGAGAAAACTGCCATGTTACTCACAAGCCCTTGAACTTGACATAGAACTCCTCCACTTCCACTTCCTCCCCTGACTCCAGCTGAAAAAAAAGAAAAGGTTAATAATTACTGCAAATATAGCAACTACATGGTGAACACACAGAAGTGGCTCGTTACTGTTACCCAACATGTGCTTGAGTAAGTGAAGTGGCACAGAAGAAGCCTGGGTACCAGCTTCACACTGACATTATCAGTCATCACTGAATCTCACTCTGCTTGACATCCTCTCACTGAGGGAAAGTACTGTTTCATTCATATCTTATCAGTATTGCAACTATTTGCTGTTTTGGGTAAAACAAAGTCCAAATGTGAGTGAAGCTGCAGGAGAAGAAATCAGAAAATCTCGTATTTCAATGGGTTTGTCAGGGAATATAAACAAATTCAGTGTTAACTCTCAAAACAGATCTATATTAAAAAAAAAGATTTAAAGTATGCGGCTGGCAACAAACATAATGAAAGAAAGATTCAGTAGCTCTGTGTAAGACTAATATGTTATGTTTTTGTGTATGCGAAAGAGTAAATGGAACTGTTGCTCCTTAGAGCAGTTTTGTTATTTACTCTTACTTTCATTCTCAATTATCATTGCAACACACACACACACACACACACACACACACACACACACACACCATGCAATCACTACTGTAATGTCATAAATCATCCATTACACACAACCAGCCTGAGGAAATGGTAGTTTGGTGTCTGGCATAGCTAACGTTGCGGTTTTGGCTGGGTGCCAAGCCCAGGGTCAACTCTGAATAGAACTGCATGAATGTGTGTGTATACGTAGGGTGGTGACCTAGTAGCAGCTGGCTAGCAAAAGAAAGTTGGCTGGTGACTGTATGTGCGTGCGTGTGTTGGCTCAGGGGTGAGCTTTCTTTAGACAAGCCATCTAAAACAATGCTGAGTAGATGCACACTCTTGCAGACTCAGAGCACCAAGCACATGCACGCACACACACACACAAGAAGAACTATTGTCTCTGCTTACCAACTGAATACATGCTGTCTGAGCTATGTGTGCATGTGTCATTTGCTTAGGCCAGCTGTGGAACGACTAATCAGATGACGTAAACCATGACTAGGCCCAGGGTGTCAATGTGCACATGTCTCTGTGTATTGTGTGGCTCTCTGTGTATCTTACCTGTTTTTTAGGGGTACGCAGACCCATGATCTTCTCCACAACAGGCCCCTCAGCTTCAGCAACATCCTGGAAGCACACAAAATAACACAAAAGGGATGGAGTTTCACCCAACCAGTCTGCTTAAATCTACTTGGTCCAAGTGTGAATACATAATCACTCCTAAACCAAGCCTTAGATACGGTATATGTGTAGCTTCTCTCCGTATATATCACCCTATTGTTCAACCCTATCAAATACAGACCTTGGTCATTCACTGTAAACCAATAATGAAACCCAAGCTGTACCTGTTGCTGGGATGACGACGATGGGGATTTCGGTGCTGGCGAGTCATCACCACTGTCATCATCCTCTAAAATTCTAAACTCCAGATCCTCCGTGTACCTTTTCCTCTTTACCTGACGGCTGGAGCGACGCTTCTGATGAACAAAGGAGACAACAAGGGTGTTGGTATTTTTTTCTCCCCATTTGTTATGGCTGTTCAAGAAATTCCCAGCTTAGATATTAAACGCCTTTTTACTATACCCCTTTCACTAACAAAATAAAGCAAATATGTTCAAAAAGGCAGATGTGTAATGTTACTTAACATAAACAAACCATCATATATTAAACTGCAAATGTAAACAGCACTCCACAATATTACATCAGAGATGGAGAAGAAGCTCCAGCACTGTGTGAGCTTTTCATTTACCAGGTCTTCCTCTTCCAAAAACAGACTTCATTTTCATTATTCTGTTCCATATGGTCCAGTATGTTATCCATATTGACTTTGAAGAAAACAACCAATTAGTTGGGCTCAAAATGTTGCCAAATAATATGGCTGTGGAAAACACCTGCTGCATCGAACAGGCTAAATGGACATACTGCTGCTGGGGTGCTTTCCTATTTGAATGAGAGCCACAACATTTTAGGGAGCTAATAGCCAGATGCTACTCTGTTTACACACATAATTACATTGGGACAAAAAAAAAAAAATCTGATTGAGGAGAGGTACAGTGGAGTGCTGCTTATTCCTCCAAACACCATGTTTCACACCAAACAGCATTTAAAAACCATACAGACAATAACTGCTTTAAAACTGGAGGAAGAAAAACATTTAACATTGAAAATCTTCAAGCTGAAAAGTTGCTGATGCATAATGTAACCTTGACAGAGGAGCCCATGTGCTCGGTCTCAAAGCAAAAACCACTGGTTCAATGCCTTCTATTCCGTACAGGCTGCGACAAGGATTTGCAAATGTTTTACGGCCTTCTGCTTTTTGCTGGACTTCCTGGACCTATGCTGCTACACAGTATTAGCCATGACTTTGTATACCTTCTAGAGTTGAGTGGTTCCTGGGGTTGGAACAACCCCTGAAAACTACCGGGTACTTTTCCTTGTATGTGGTCTGTACATGCACACTGAAGAAGGCAGCTATACTGAAACATCAGTGTTCTCTATAAGCCATTGTTTTTTTTTTTTGTTTGTTTTTTTTTTAAATGACTCAAAGTGCAAAGGTCCTTTTTTGATTCTGTTTGTTGCACCTGTACACCGTCATCATCTTCTTCTTCAGGGGGTGAGGAAGGTGGAGACTTCACCTCCACATCATCGCTGGCTGATGACTCTCTCTTCCTCTTAGAATCCTTCTTAGCAGCACTAGCCCCGCCCTCCAAATCTACCTTCTTACTGCTAAAAGAAAAGATGGGAGAGAAAATGTCTTAAAAACAATACCAACACAACATGTCTTAAAAACAATACCAACACAAGGCTCTATGCGTTACCTCTTTCACACACTACAAGGAATACAAAGTGTGTGTGTATATGTGTGTGTGTGTGCATGCGTGCGTGCGCGCATCTGTCTGTCCCAGGGTGGTCGCCATGTTTGATTTACCCATTTAGAAATCATTAGTGTGCCTCAGGCCCTGGCACACAGGGGGTTAATATGATGAAAGACCGCGAGGAGGCGGAGGGAGCAAGATAGAGAGATAAAAGCACAGAAGAGAGAGAGAGAGAGAGAGGCAGAGAAACAGAGAGGGACAGAGAAAGAGAAGCCCCAGAGGGAGGAGGGGGAGGGGTCCCCCCAGGCCTCCTCCAATCTCTGGCATGGAAAGAAAGAGGAACCAGCTCTATTTGTAAGTGTGTGTGAATACACATGACAGAGGAAGGCGAGAGGACAAAAACACCTCTCTTCTACCTTTTAGATGTCACTTACTCTCTTGCCATGCCTGGTCAGAAATCACATTGCAAGGGCAGTTTACAAAATGCTGAATTTCAAATACCAACACTGGCAAACAAATCCAGTGTGGAATCTGCTTATATCAGTCTTTTCAAATCCACTCATTAAATTCATTTTGATGTAGATCTCCACATCTGCACAGAACTAAATGTATAACCCTAAAACCTGAGAATGCAATGAAGTGCAGAAGATGCGACATGTTGATTGAATTTGTATCATACTAAGAAATCTAATCTAGCCTGTACTTTATTTTTTTTATCATTTCCTGTGAGTAATACAAACAGCGCCAGTACAAACCTATTCAGTTAATGGACAAACATTTTACATGTTAGAAAATAACATATTTGAAAAGACTGAACTACATAGTAGGCTACTGAACTGTGGAGTTAGATCGTTAAACAGTTTTTCACAGAAAACATGGCTTGATGAGGCACTGGAGCCTTTCATTGACATGACCCCTAATACTGTAACATTATAAAAACTAGAGCACATTATACCCGAGTTACTGCAACTACTACTACACAGCTAGTTACTTTTTAAAATTTGACAGTTTGGCTATTCTGTCTAGAGGAGATCCACCAAGACTGCCAGTGAGAGCACGATCATACTTGCTAGATGTAGCAATGCCCTTCTTGGCGTCTACTCCGGTCAGTGAATGGGAGAGAAGTATACAGCCTATAGCCTGCTATCTAGCTATGTCTTCATCCAACAAATGCATCTTCCCTGGATGCCAGAATCTGCAACTTGGTTTACTTATTTATTTGAGAAGAAAACTGAACTGCTTTGGTAAAGCCAAACCCATTTCATTATCGGTATAGATCTTGGCCCTCTTCCCCCACATAAGAAAACCATGGTGAAAAATGTGGTTGTGTTATTTGATGGCCAGTTAAAAGTGGACAAGCAAATTACCTCAGTTGTAAAGGCCAAGTACTGGAGTCTTCAGGCCCACTCCACCAGACTTACAAACAGCATCAGCCACCAGGCTGACAATCTCCTATTATTGTTTGCACTACTGTCACTGACTGTACATGGTTTTGAGTCACAGCTTATTGGCTGTACTGTTTAGATTTAGCCTAATTGCATTAATGCAGTTCTTATTCTATTTTTTATTCTACTTTATTTTAGTTCCTAAATGTTATGGCACACAACACTAGGTGAGAGAGAAATGGTATTTCTATTTTCTGTATGTCCTGCACATATGGTGAATTGACAATAAAGTCCTTGAACCAGCTTTTTTTGGCTAAGATTAATGAGTAAAGTCATTTCTCTCATCCTCTGATCTTGAAACTGCTATTCATGCGTTCATTAGTTCAAGATTAGATTACTGTACTTAATCTGCATTCTATGAAAAAGCTTCAAGCGGCACAGAATGCAGCCGCAGACCTTTTGCCTGACACTGGGCCAGAATAAACTTGTGTGGTTCGTCATGTGACGCATGTCATATTACACCAAATTCAGTGAATTTGCATGAATTCAACGTAGTACTACAAAAATGGGTAAGTAGTTCAGTACTTTACACCTTTGACGCATGTTGAGACCTGAAAAATAGGACAATAGCATATCCTGAAGTGTTGACACACTTTCATTGCAAATAATGGGTAGGGGTATTTTGACATGCGCCACATGTTGCCTGTGCGCACACCTAAGACTGCGCCCTTGTGGGTAGTCCCAGCAACTATCCTCTTGACAAAATATCTAAAGTCTGTCTAAAAAAGCAGTCAGTTTTATCACCCGTCTTTTTTTTTGGAAAAAGGCATGCAAAAGTTGCAAGACAGTAAAAAAAAAAAGAGGTACAAAATATATTATGATTAGGAATGCAGTCTGTGTAGCCATCCCTGGTAGGCTAGTGGTTAAGGCACAGCGCTCTCGCCGCTGCGCCCCGGGTTCGAATCAGGGTTGCGTCAGGAAGGGAATCCGGCGTAAAACACGTGCCAAAGGTCAACATGCGAGTCGTCAGTGTGACGATTCGCTGTGGAATCTGGCCACAGGGGTTGCAAGTCAGTGACTTCTGTGCCGGTCCCAAGCCCGGATAAATAGAGAGGGTTGCGTCAGGAAG